AGTAGAACCATCTGCAGCGACCTTCCCACAACACCCGTCGGACGCCTATCAGCAATAGCCCCTTATAAGGCCACGCTGTTCAGTTTCCATGGTAGCGTTCAACGTTCGCATTCTAAAACAAATCGGTCAACAGGCTGCACTCGCATGCACCTTGGACACATTCGGCATTAACGTGTTCTGTCTGAAATTAGGATCAATAACCCTAATGGGATGGTTGAATTAACTGCACTCGGCTTATCCTCTCGCTATTGGTTACACTCATTCGGAGACGCTGATGCGGCACTCAGAGGCCAAGCTGGTGTAGGTATCATTCTAAGCTCCGACGCTGAGCCATCGTTGGTTGATTGGATTCCGGTAAACAGCCGTTAATGTGCAACCCGTTTGACGACGTGAGCCAAGATTGATACGAGAAGTAGTACAAAACGTTGTTTGTGTGTGATTCCCGCTTATGCCCCCACCGACTGCAGTTCAAGTGCTGTCAAGGACACATTCTGTCACGAACTGAACGCGCAACTATGCAGTGCTACTAGTTCAGATATTACTTGCATAGGAAATGAACGCACGTGTAGGGTGGTAATTATGGGCTTAACTCTGAACGGACTGACAACGGCGAGCGTCTGCTGCAACTATGTGCGGAGCACCAGTTGTTTCTTAGTAGCACTGCTTTTAGACAGTGGGCGCCGAAGTGCCACTTGACGTCCTCCTGTAGCTGGCCGGCGATGGACCCAAATTGACCGCATTGCCATAATTTACAGGTGGCGTGGTTCCATCCTGAATTACCGCTAGTTCTGTAATACGTGCGTCGACTCTGATGATGCCTTAGTATGCTGCCATTTCTTCATGAGCTTTACCGGGAGGCGCACCAAGTGTCTCCTCCGATTGGCAACTGAGAAATTGTCTCAGCCCTCGGTCAGGCAAGCCCATCAAGACGTAATGCGTACCGAACCTTCACTGTCTTCTAATGACATTGAGCTTCAATGGAATAGAATCTCGGCCGCCATGCACGACGCAGGAGCGTCTGCTTGTAGCACTAACAATTGTTATCGCACCGGTCAATGAATATCTGAGAGGTCGGTGGACTTGTTGGAATCCGGGAGAAACCGGCTGGCTCTGAGCACAATATGATCAAACGGGCTATTAGGCGCGAACTAGAGTGCAGCCTACGTGCTGACAAGGAAGCCTTGTGGACTAGTCGGGCTCAAGAAAGGGAGGAGATAGGAGCAGTAGGCAATTACTGCAAGCTCTTCCAGCTGGTCCGCACCAATAGTCCCAGGAAACCAGGCGTCAGTGAGACAATCAGACTGCGCGAGTACACTGATGCACAATAAAGAGCCCCGTATGACTTGTTGGGCGGAACACTTTCAAGATCAGTTCAGTTGGCCTCTTGCTCCCGGACCTCCTCCTACTCAGGTGATGCAGGTCGAGCCATGGACGGTTAGTTTAGAAGCTTGATCGGAGGCTGAGGTCCGAAAGGAGATCACAGCCCTCAATCGTTTTCGTCCCGCTGGCCCGGATTCCCTCCTACCTGCACTATGTAAGGATGGAGATGAAGTCCTCTGCAAAACACTGACCTCCCTATCTGGAAGGAAGTGAGTCTCGGCTAACTGTAGCGAATCGATTATATGGCAACATACAAGAAGGGCAGTCGCACGGACTGTGATAACCAAAGTGGTATCAGTTTAACGCCAATCGTAACAAAATTCATGGTCTCGATTCTCGTTCGACGCCTCATTATGGAACGGAAATCTCGGATTAGGAAAAAGCAGGCCGGTTCCCGCCCAAGACGCGGCTGTATAGACCATATATTCAATCTGCGGCAGGTGCTAGAGCAACGTTACGCAGACCGACAGTAACGCTGTTGCTCGATTTCAAAAGTGCGTTCGATTCAGTAGATCGATGTATTATGTTTAAAATACTTGCGCGGAAAAGTGTTCCCACTAAATATGTGAACATCCCACGTACTCTATACTCGAACACTACAGGCCGCGTCAGGATCTACGATGACCTGTCGGATAGCTTTCCGACCGCAAGGGGCGTTCATCAGGGTTGTTCGATTTTCCCATTTTTGTTCAATTTCATTGGGGGCTCTATCATAGTGTTCACTACAGAATCTAGCGATGTAGGCGTTGAGGTCCTGCCTGGTGAAAGGTTAGTTGATCGTGATTACGCGGACGATATCGTCTTGCCTTTTGACGATGTCAGTGCGGCCCAGTCTACCCTGAGTAGCTTCTCTAGAGTGGCCCCATTATTTGGTATGCGCTTCGCACCTTCCAAGTGTTACTTCCGAGCCGCAAGCCACTTAATGACCCCTTGACGCTTGCTAACGAGGAACTCCAGGTGGTTGATCGATTCACTTACCTTGGCAATTGCATCAGCAACGACGGGCGCATAGAAACTGACGTCAGCTAACACATTTCGAAGGCCAGCACTGTCTTCTCGTACCTGCGGTATTTTTGGCGACAAGGGAATTTCCCTCCGTCTGAAAGGCCGTGTATACAAGGCCACACTGAGGGCCGTTATGCTCTATGGTAGTGAGACTTGGTTCCCTACGGTCTGAAGATCTGAAGCGCCTTCAAGTCTTTGAACATGGTTGTCTGCGAAGCGTTGCTGGTGTCGTATAGTACCAGCGTGTCCGCAACGATGATGTGCGTAGGCGAGCACTAGGTAGTGAAAATCATGCTAGCTCCCTAGAACAACAAATGGCACTGAATAAGCTACGTGGGCATGGGAACGTGCTACGTATGCTGGTCACCGCTTACCGAGGAGGGCATTGCTTAGTCTGCCGGGTGTAGGGTGGCGCAAGGCTCGAGGTGGGCAGAAGTTGACTTAGCAACAGGAAATGAATTCACTGACGACCAAACTTGGTGCCATTGGTCCGTCTCGCCTTCCGAGCTGGAGTCTATGTGACTCGCCTTGTGCTTGGCTCGAGACTTTACAGGACATGGCTCGCAGTAGACACCAGTGGCCCGTTTTCTGCAGTCTTCTAGTCGGATTGTCTCTTTAAAGTGTGTTTAGTGCTGCGGGGCAAAGGCTGGTTATGACGCGAGGCAGTGAAAGCCGCAATGAAGCTGTCTCGCCGATGCCGCCTTATCTTTGCACTATAGTCAGCTGTTTGTGACAGCATGTTGTCTACACAAGGTGTAGGCACCTTGACCCTGGATGTTTGTTTAGGACATTAAGCATTTCAGGTAAGTCCTCCTCCGCCTCGTATTATTTTTCACTCCATAGGTCATGGCTGGCTCTCTGTCTAGTTGATAGACCGCTGAGATCACTCACTCACTCCACCATGGTTGTATGGCAGCGAAGCATCGGTACAAATGGCCGATGTTCTGCTGTTGATGATTTTGACAAGGTGTTGGGCTGCGCGCAGTTGACCGACAACTTGACTTGGAATATGCTGACGACGTTACCCTAACCTGTGACAGCTCCCAAACGTGCCCAGCATCACTGGACCGATTAGCACTGGCTGTCCATTGTTTTGGGATATGCTTTGCACCCTCGAAATGCAAAGTGCTTCTCCGTGATTGGCACTAACCCATCCCTGTGCTAACCTTTGTTGGTGATCAGCTAGAAGTCGCTCAGGAATTCATGTATCTAAGCAGCCATATAAGCGGCCGTGGGATTGAAGATGTGGTCACAAACCGTATAGCGAAAGCTCGATGTGATTCTGCCAATTACCGCCACCTGTGGCTGATGTTGCATTCTTGATGCTTCTTCACCACAGTTGGGCTAAATCAATTTACACTTAAACTAGGTCTTCTTAAGCTGGATAAATTTCATTCCACTTTATTTGGTTTGTTCTGCCTACCTGAATAATCTTCTATTAACTGGCCACGTTGCTTACACTAATTGCGTTTATCTCCAGTAACTTTGTTGCGTTTGTAGCATTTTCAACTAACTTGTGGACATTTCTTACTTATCGCGGATTCGTTGCTAACCAGCTTACTCCATATGGTAATTTAGTGAAGAGTTATGCCACCGTATCTGTATGCATTATTGGATTTATTTTATTTCATCTCTTCGTTTCAATTGAATGGCTGTTGCTTGATATCCCTGGTGTGGCTGCGCTTGATGTGCATGTTGACAAGGTGCCTACCTTTCTATTACCCACTACCTCGTCCATACTGGCTCCAGGAGACAGTTGGTCGTTGCTGGAGGGGACGGGGTGCACGGTTCTTGTGGCCGTGTTGGAATCAAAGAGTGGTTTCATGCACTCAGTGTGGAGCGGACTACGGTCCAGCCACCGCCTTGTGTGCGCTTGATTCCCAAATACAGGGTGCTTGTGTTTGCCTGTGAAGGAGTGTGGACCGGCTCCGTTGATGAAACGTTGCTCGCATCCACATGCCTCCCGGTCTTATTCCTTCGGGTTTACACTGGATATGGGGTGTGTGGTTGGAGCTGTGGATGGTGCATCGCAAGCCACACATGGTTCCCTCTGTGACTGGCCACAGTGACAGGCAAATCCGAAACCGGATGCCGACAACCATATATATATATATATATATATATATATATATATATATATATATATATATATATATATATATATATATATATACATATACATATATATATATATGGATGTGCTTGTTGATTCCTTTTTGAACCATTTGTTTGCTGACTATCACATAATGCTTATAATTTTCCCATCGAATTCCTGTCCTTGCGGTCTTTCTGCTTCATGGGTAACAGGAGTGCACAGCGTTCTACAAAATGCACCATGCAAGCCCTTGTCGGTTGTCCCTTTTTGTAGATCTCAACTTTGGTGCATTTGCCGACGCTGTTAAGACCAAAAGCGTCGTTCCCCGGCTTCATGAATGCCACATTCTCGTCAAAAAAGCGCGAGAGCTGTAAGCTTTTAAATGTGAACACTTTTCCGGTACCAAATTAGTGTACCATCGGCTCAGACCAGGGTCGTAGTTCGGTAGACTCAAGAAATTATAGACATTATCGAAGCACATTACCATCTGGACCTTGAGCTTCATTATCTTCCGTTTCAGGATTCAGGATCGAATCTTGATCTACTGGCTGATATTTTTGGTCTTAAACATCCGACAGATTGCGCGAGTCGACATGAACAAGCGTCAGCTTCGTGGGCCGATTTCCGGTAACCTCTACTAATGAGCGCAGAATTTTCAATTTCTCCGAGAGAAGCATATAATCTGCCAATCCGTATTATTTTACGTCTTTCGATTGATTTGTCCGTTCATCGGCGTCTGTACCATCATCCTTCCATTTTCTTATCGTATCACGCCAGCCATCAAAATTACAATCCAGGTACAACGCGCACAAACACTTTTCACCGCTCACTGTTTCCTGTCCATTCGGCCGTTTTCGCATACCTTCGATAATACACCAACGTTGTTGTTGAGTTAATTATTATGTACGTAATCTTCGCCACATTGCAGCAAGTAACTACTGAAAATGTAGAAAAATGGTAGTCGATTGTACTCTGAGTCACTTTCTGTGCCTGTTATCCCTTAATATAACCGGCAGGTTGAGATCGCATCGCTCCACTGTCAGTAATTTTTGGTTATTTCAATGTCAGCTGCTCCACCTCCAAGCTAACCACACTGTTCACTCATAGGAATTCAACGAGCGTTAAACTAGACATCCTCCCGCTACGCTTAGTTGTAATCCAGCCGTGAAACAGTATTTGAAGTTCCGAGATATCGAGAGGTCTCGACAAGGTCTAAGCTCTATGTATTCGTGAATTCGCAGGATGCAATTACAACTGCCGCATGCCAAACTATCCTTAAACCAATTGCAACTAACTGACAGCTACGATCTATACGCACCCGGACTGGCACGTTTGAAGTTACATGGTTGTGCAGAACTAATCAGTTTCGACCAGCCTAATTTGAATAGGTGCGTGATGCGTTCATTTGTAGGTTAGTTCGCAAGCCCAACTCTTCTCTACCTGTTTGCCAAACAGACTTGGAATTAATGAAAACGGAGCACTTACCAACCAGTCAGCCTCGTCTCACGCTAGCTTCGACTTCAGATCAGGCTCATACATGCATAAATTCAAGCGCAGCAACATCATGGACCACATATTTTAGTCGACTGAAAATGGTCTTTCTATACATCGTCATGATCTGCTGCCGAACTGCGTTTTATGCCGTTGACGCGGCTTCCAAGTGCCCGCTTATTCGGAGTGGGACAGATATTACCATGACTAAGTGCCCCATTGTGCATAGCTGTCTCTATCTGTGCTGAGTTCGCGAAACAGCAACGGTCGTTTATAAGAATTAATTTGAGCCTGGATTTGTCGGGAGCGATTGAATTACACGTCGGAGATGCATCCGGAGTCCGCAGCAGTTATTAAACTTACACAATGGTAACAGTTGTGCTTCCTATGATTCCGCGTTCAATAGGCGTCAAATTTTCGTCCTGCCTTACCATCGCCATTCGTTAACCTGCCCAAATTTCACGTGACTCGGGCTAGAAATACGATCGCTTCCCAGACGAAAAGTGATGTAAAGGGGTTGTCAATCCTACTCAGGAAGAGGCAACGATCGCTTTGTCTATGTAGCTAGATGGCCAACAGCAGACACCCGAATACAAATGCATGCCACTACATTAAAAGAATCGGAAAAAGTGAAGTCGCAAGCAGCAGAACCCTTTATGAAGAACATAGTACTTGGTAATATGCATCCCCGGATTTGCCAGTATCTGCTACCAAACCACTGATGTCACCTCAACTGGTGACGAACCGCTTGCAATCGAATATCCCAGCTCGGCGATCCACTCAACAGCAAACACGAGTCACCAGTATTTCGAGATGATTGGAAGTTCTATCGATTAGGGCCCCGGTGAATAAAAACGCGGAACAAGCCCCACACGCCCGCGGCTAGGAGGGTGAGTCCGACCATCGGCGAGATCGTTTGCACTGACCCAGCCAGAGGCGAACACAGGTACACACTCCAATCTAATTCATTCAATGAGCTCTGCGTCATCGTCATTTAGGGAATATAACTCCGCAACAGAGGGCATCAAGTGAAAAAAGGTTGAATGTTGGTCTATATAGATTTCCGGGTACATTCCTTAGAAGGAACTTCTAATACCGCGTATGCGTAATTTTGTGACACCCAATGACCATCCCGTAACAAAATAACGCGTTCTAATGAGCGCGCAACAACCGTGCATCTAAGTCGAAACTTCAAACGTAATTACATTTTCAGTTGGAAACCGTTTTCACAAGCGGCTTGAACAGCGGCTAAAATTGGCTGTGGTGACAACTGGCGTTCTCCCAGAGGCTGGTCTCTGCAACTCATCTTCAAGTAAGCACTTTTCGACGGAATTTGCTGCAACCGAATGCTGTAGTCGGTCTCACTAGTCATTACGTTACTAATGGCCTGACGAACCCCAATGTAATCAGTCAGTAGGCACCGACGCGTATTTAATGTCCCGGATCCCATCATCAGCAGAAGCACCCACTTTCAAGTGAACGGAACACCTTTCATAATTTAATAGTAATTACAAACAGTAAAAGCAGTCACCAGTTAACTCGCGAACAGAAGCATCGAAAAGACAACAATCAGTAGCTCAGAACCAAGTGATCAAAGAACGACATTTACTCCGGGACAAAGGCTCAAAATTGTACAATTAACCTTTCAGAGAGCTCAATCCAGCGCGCATTATTTCATCCACCAGCAAGATGTTAGAGGCGATGACACCGCTGAAACATAGAAGAGGTTTTGTGAGGGTGGAATCCAAAGAACACAAGTAAATACACATGGTCGTTAAGTGGGATTTGCAGTTAACCAAACAACTGAAATATTTCTGTTAGAAGCCGTCCAACGTTACTCGGCTTTGAGCATTGGTTCTATCTCAAAGCGCATACAACTGCGGATGTCGCGCCAAACTCGCAGTGTAGCGGGGTGGATAAGTGACCGCAGGTTACTGCTAAAGAACATCAGCAGTCCGCCGATGTGCAGTACCGACGCTTCGCTGACGAGCAACCATCATCAGTTGCGCATGCGCTAAGGATACTGCGAGGGTCGTCCGGTCCCCTAAGAACTCGAACTAGTGACCTCGGGATTACAAGGTAGCTCGTGATCATTTCGGTCACGAGCCAGAGCCACTGCAAGGCACATTTTCGACGGCCCCTCGTGTATCCGAGTGATCATCACTACTGTCCTTTCCACCGTACTAACATAATGGACTGAATCGACTATCACCGTTTAGTGCTGTCTCTCATCCCATCGCCACTCATCATCATCATCATACACGTTAGCTGGAGGTGGGGAACACCTCAGCTACTGTGCCGCAATACATAGAAAAAAAGAGAGAAAAATCAACTGGTGCAAGCTGACTGAGCTACCGGTTACGGATGGGCATCGTTCCGGTAAGCTACCAGCCGGCTACTGTGCATCAAAAAAATTACTATGCAAAATTATATAAGGCTAAATAATGAGATCGTGGTTGGAGGGGGAGGCTAAGAGGGATGGGGTGGGACAAAGAAACTCACAGCGCGAACGCCACTGAGGTCGGCTCCTAGCCATATCAGCAAGTGTGTCTAATCAAACGTGTTCATCGTCTTTCGGACCCCAACCAGGGAGCCGAGACGTTCCAACCGAGGCCAGCTCAGAAGTGAGGGCCTTCATTCCTTTGGACCAAGTCATCGCTCGGCCACCCCTCCTCTTCTTCCATCCACACCACCGGCGCGCAAACAACACACGTCGCGGGAGACCCGATTCGAGCAGTTCACCGTACATATCGGCAGTCACATCTGTGGGCACTGATGAGCCAAGTTTCAGTTGTTTTGTATGCACCGCAGTCATTTTACACTTTGGTTGGAAGCGTGAGATATCTCATTTACTATGCCGCAATACAGTAAAATATTCGGTCGAAAAATTAACCACACAAAACTCAAAATAATGACATTAGGTTTCTTATTTGACTGCATCGAGGATGAGATCGTGGCGGGATGGCGAGTCTAAGCGAGAGAAGAAGGAACTAAGCAACTCGCAACACAAGTGCAGCAATGCCGGCTTTTGACCATATCAACAAGCCTCTTCAGCAAAACGTGTTCATGATCTCAACCCACATGCAGAGAAGCGGTAACCGTGACACATCACCGGCTAACCTCCCCTCATCTATACACCCCGGTCGAGCAAACAACGCATGTTGCGGAGTCGGCATGTTGGCGTGATGGTCCTGCTCCATGGGTTGCCCATTTGGATCCGGTCCCTCGCTCAGAAGTCGAACCTGTGATCAGACGACTGATGTTGAATAAAGCCCTGGGACCAGATGATCTCCATCCAGCCCTCTACAAATTCGGAGCACTGCACTTCATTTTCATCATGGATACACCTTAGTTGAGTCATTAACACCCCAACTAATGAGCCGCAATACAGAAATATCACAGTACAAAAAATTCAAAAGTGAGTAATATAGTGTTAAATGTTACACCACGCCAATGGGATCGGCTCTGCTACATATCAGTGTGTCCAGCCAAACCTCGGGATGCATCAACCGATGTCAACTTCGAAGCGAGAGCCTTCATTACTCTAGACCAAGTTATCAATTAGCCTCCTCTTATGTTATTCCATCCACACCCCGGACGCTCAAATAACGCACGACGCTGGCATGCGCAACACGTGGCCCAGCCAATGGAGCCTAACGAGATATAATGGTGCTGAGCGGCCCACTCGCTCTTCCTGCACCAAATACGCGACGCTGAACACATTCATTGCTCACGCGGTGCTCCCACCGGACAGGCTAACCTGCGAAGACAGCGACGGTCGAACGTAGTTAGCTCCTTTTTCTGATGGGCCAAGTTTCACAACCGCATAGGAGGGTTGAACGGATAGCTGCATTGTATACTCTGCCCTTTAGGGCAAGTGTGATGTCGCGTCAACGCCACAGGTGGCGGTAATTGGCAGAAGCACATCGAGCTTTCGTTATACGGTTTGTGACCACATCTTCAATCCCACGGCCGCTTATATGGCTGCTCAGGCACATGAATTCCTGAGCGACTTCTAGCTGATCACCAACAAAGGTTAGCACAGGGATGGGTTAGTGCCAATCACGGAGAAGCACTTTGCATTTCGAGGGTGCAAAGCATATCCCAAAACAATGGACAGCCAGTGCTAATCGGTCCAGTGATGCTGGGCACGTTTGGGAGCTGTCACAGGTTAGGGTAACGTCGTCAGCATATTCCAAGTCAAGTTGTCGGTAACCTGGGAGCAGCTCCACACTTTGTAGGTGACAGCGTTCAGCATTGTCTCACACCGCTGGAGATATTGAAAGGTGGCGACAGTTTTTCCTAAACCCTCATCAGTTCGAACAATGCGCATACAGCGCTCTGATAATGTTTACGTATTTTTTGGGTTCGGTTTTCCTGAGCAGAGCGTCCCACATCGATCAACCGAATCGAAGGAACTTTCGATGTCAGGAAACACGACTACGATGGGAAGCCAATAAATATGGCGGTGCTCCAGCAGTTGACGTAAAGACGTGGTCGACACAGCCTCGATCTCGACAAAATCCGGCTTTCTCCTCACGAATCTGGCTTTCATGAGTGTCAGTAAGTCTATAAGGAACGGCGGAGGCAAACAATTTAGAGGTAATTGTGATCAGGCTGATGCCTCTATGCTTGGCACATTCCGAAAGAGAGCCACGCTTGAAAATTGAGATTATGACGGAGCAGCTTCAGACTGTTGGGACAATTTCTGTTCCCACAGTATCACTAGTAACTCATGTAAATCATCTACAAGTGCAGGTCTACCGGTTTTAAAATAAGCTGGATGAAGTGTATATGCTCCTGCGGCCTTATTCAATTACAGCAGTCTGATCTCACGTTCAACTGCACGCGAGGGCACGTCCAAGGAAGGGAGTAGGGCAATCAATGACCAAAAAGAAAGTGATAACTCAGACTGGTTAAACTGCTTTGCAGTCTTCGGAACTACGCTCCAAACGTTATGACAACCTGTGAGTCCACGGTCCACTTTGGTCACGTATGATCCCATTAACATAAAGTGTCAGACGGAACAACGACGGCGGCTGTTTTAATTTCCGAAGCACGAGACCACCGAAATTCTCGGTATTTTTTAAGGCTAGCGCAAGGTTTTGCCCTGAGATTTTTGGGTCCCATTGTCTTCGTTTCCAACCCTGAATACGTAGGCGAGCATCCAGATGTTCCAGGGACTGTGTAGGGACCAAGTGTCCAGGTTGGCGATTTGTAGTGCCACATGACTGCTGGTAGTAACGTCTGACGAACATGAGACCAGTGATCTTCAACGATGTTCAGTGCGCACTTATTAGACCATGTGCCGGTGTACTTGGATACGCATTCAGAGCAGGTGGCTTCGCCAGTTGGCTGGTGTCTATGCGCTCGCAGCGCCGTTGCGGACGTCCGCCGAAACGCACTTGAAGGTCGGCAAACACAAGAGCGTGGTCGGAGTCCACGCACGTGCTTCAAATCGAGCAGTAGTTTTGGATGCAGCCTCTGCAGCGGTAACTGACCGAAATGGGATCGATTTGAGTCCATGGCTGGCCCGGGGCTGGTGGACGACAGGTTACTCTTCTGCGAGTACTGTGTCGAAAATTAGTGCTCGTGAGAGAGTAACAAACATCTGTATTGTTGCGGGCCCGTCAAATATCCCCGCAAAAACGCGCCAGAAACTCCGGCATAATGCCTGTGGAAAGCAGGGTCCAATTCCTCCCCACAACGTAGCAGTGTTCAGCCACTCCGAGACACGGCACAACTGCGCACCTGTTGACAATGCTCTTTTACAAACTACCACCCCGTCGTGGTAGCAATTTTCCCTAACTTAATGACCCATTGCATTGGCTGTGATTCGCCCTTTGTTGGTCGTAAAAGAGCCTTCAGAGGACCGCCTGTCTTGCTTCCTCTTCGCCTTACTTGGGAGTCGGTCGGGTCACGTGATTTTGTGTGCGTCGTTAGCCGGGCAGCATTCGCGTCTAAGTCACTAGTGCGCGTCTACCATAACCTCCTCCCGTGTGCGTCCGTTCCGAGGGCTCAGCGTCTACCCGAATACGTGCGGCTAGGGTCGTTGTCACACTCGCTCAATTTCCGTCTCAACAGCGCGTACCCCGGCCTAAGCTAACGCCATCAGGTCAGCGCAAATCCGTTCGATTGGTCAGCGTTCTGAGCCGTTACCGTAGGCGTGCTCCAACCGTGCCAGTGACAATCTTATCAAGCATCTACGCAATTATAATAGAGGCGTTCCCTCAATCATAACATGTATACAGGTGTAACGACCGCACACCATTAGCATTACTGGAGCCTACACCATGTTGGCCGCCCAGATGAAGCTCGTCAGAGGACAATTTTCCAGGTTGGGCATTCAGATCACCAGCAAGCAGCACGGCATCAGTATTTCTGTAACGAAGATCGTTAAGTTGGTGATAGAAATCGTGTTCCACCGAATCAGTGCTACAGTTTTTGGGGACAGAAGCCGCGACAACAAACAGGCACGGTTTGTCCCCGCGCGATTTCGAAGCCTGGAATGAGCCAGCCAATCTTACGTCGCTCTTCCGGCTGTTGACTGAAATCTAATCGATCATGACAGCTTCAGCCGAGTGACTCAAAACAATGCCAACGCCAGTTTGGAAGGCATTTTAGGTTGCGTTATCTCCAAATAGGAACAATGAGAATGCGCCGTCAGTGTCGCATGTGGTGGATCGAAGGGTAAGCACGGAGCTAAAATCTTGCAGGTGGGTTTCCGATAAACAGTGTTTAGGCAAGTGCTGCCTGTTGGCGAATCACTAGCAAAGTGCGCACGTTGAGGCATACTAGCTAGAATCGAGGACTCCAAAGAGAAACGGATGAACTGACGTTGTCCGCTTGGTCGAATATGGACTTGTCGAGTGGATTGGAGCGACGCCCTGCGGTTAAAAGTGTGAGTTGAAACTAGAAGGCAAGCGACTATTGAAGCAAGACGGGTGATGGCCAATAATTGAGGAATTGAAAACGGGGAGATAAAAGTGAAGTTGGAACGAAACGATGAGGATGGGAAACCGCAAGAGGAGGAAAAAGATTACGGGAGAGCCTGGGCATTGGCATCAAAGCCCATATCCGCCCTACTCGATGCAGCAGATAGGGCAAAGCTTATTATCATCTGCAGTGGCCAGAGCATCAGGATTGCAGGGAAAGGATACTGTCAGATTGCCCAGGTCTAGACAGGAGAACGACTACGGTTCTCGAACAAAGCCTTTGGTTAAAATACCTGATCGTAAGGCAGTGGGGTCTTGGAACTGGGCTACAGAGAGTTCGTCTTATGGAATAAGGAGCCACCCTCACTCCGACGCCCAAGCTGGATAGCAAGCAGACTGAGTTTGTCTGGCCTCTAGCCATTGACCAATTTTGTATGAATGGCTCTGTAGGTGCGACCAGCATAGCTCAACGGATCATTGAGGCATACAAACCATCGCACCATGCTAAAGTTTAGTCTCAGTGCGATGGGGCTATGCTTTGGTTGACGATTTGTACGAAATACTGGAGCTAATGTTATAGTCCCGATTTTCAAGCAAGATTCACGTTCGGACTGCGGCAACCATAGATGAACTAAGCTGACCTCCACCGCCTCCAAAATGCTTGCTTCTGTCATATTTCGCAGAATGGGTAGCACCCGTGAAAGACTCATGAAGAGCAAACCGGGTTTCGTCGAGGTCGCGGAGGCAACGATCACATACTCAACTGAATACTGTATTATAGGGCAATCAGAAATGAGTTCTGTACAACCCTTTCGAAATATGGTGAGAAACGTTATAAAAGTTGCCAACTGTGAATATCATTGTCGTTCTCATGTAACATTTAAAATATCTGACTCACGGTATTGCAGGATTCACAAATGTGATATGTCATCGTAAGTGTGCAATCGTTCTCTGAATCGAATAGTGGTAAAATATAAATCTAACAACATTTGGAACTGCGTCAATTGTTAGAGAGCCGTCATATTTATTGGCGGCCCATCGTTGTCGTGTTCCTCTACCTCAAAGGTGCCCTCGATTCGATTGATCAATGTGCCTTTTGGGACCGTCTGCTTAGGAACAGTATGCCCGAGAAATATGTAAATTTTATCGGGGCATTTTACGTGCGTAGCTCGAGCAGAATGGAAGTTTACGGCAAGCTGTCGCCGCCCTTCAACATCTCCAGCAGTGTAAGAGTGGGATGACTGCCGTCATCTTTGATCTTCAACTTCGTTATCAACGAAGTTATGGAAATCGCGCTTACAGGACACGAGCTAGGTGTGGAGTTGCTCCCTGGTGAAGTTCTTAAATTGGAGTACGCCGACATTGCCTTCATAGGTGCCAAAGCGGCACTGGGCAGATCAACACTGGTTGTTAGATATTTCGAGCTATGCCTTGCACCATCAAAGCGCAAAGCTTTACTCCAAAATTGGCAGGGACCGTTACCTGCCCCGACCCCTGGTGGCGATCAGATAAAGTTATTGAGAAACTCAAGTATCTAGGCAGCTATATCAGCGCCAGTGAAATAGGTGAGATCACAAACCGTATAGTGAAGGCCCGATGCGCTTTTATTAGTTTCCGCAACCTATGGCGCCTACGCGACATCATCATTATCTGAATGGTAGCGTACAGTGTAGCCGTACGTTCGACCCTACTTTACGGTTGTGAGACCTTGCCCATTAGATCAGCCGACATAAAGAGGCGTGTTATGTTCGACCATCGGTGCCTTCGCAGTTTGGCTCACATCTGGTGGGAACTCTGTGTGAACAATGAGCGCGTTCTATGCCTTGGTTATAGCACAGGAAGAAAAGGGAAAACGAGAGCATAAGAACGCCGGAACATTACTTACAGGATACAGTGTAAAAATTGTGATAAGAACTATGTGGGCCATAAGGGGAAGAAAATTGTCTACAAGGTTACAGGAACACAAACAAGCCTGTCGAAACCATTACCCGTCATCATTGGTCTCGATACACGTTGTGGGAGAAGGGCATGTTTGATTTGGAGAAAACGAAGGCGCTAGCGCAGGGAGAGACCATAAAAGGGAGAGAATGTCTCGAAGCGTGGTTCTCTACGGAGAACTCAATAGACCTGCGTATTGACTTAGATCTGATATACCATCGGCTGCGAAAAACGAATTCAACTGGGTCATTCAGCACATGAGTTGAAAAGAGGCGGCACCCGAACTGCGAACTAGCAATGGTCACGGGAGGTGAATCGAAGTGGCCAAGTTCAAATATCACTCGCTCATCGGTAGGAATCGACAAACCACGCATTTTGCTTACTACGCACTGAAGAAGTTACCTCGATTGGTGATGAAACGTTTGCAACGAAACTGTTCAGCTCAGAGAACATAACAAAACCTGAACAGACAGCCCGACCTACAGGTATTCCAATTTATTGCTAAGTGAGCCGTTCAGCCCCGTTACATCACGCACCATGCAGCGATGCCTTGAGCACGTGTTGCGCATGCCAGCACAGCGAGTCCCGCGAGGTGCGTTGTTTGCTCACCGGAGATGTGGATGGAAGAAGAAATGGGGTGGCTAGGCGATGACCTGGTCAAGAGGAATTAAGAGGTTTACTCCAAAGATGGCCTCGATTAAAGCCTCTAGGCACCCTGGTTGGGACCCGAAAGACGATGAAAACGTTTGGCTGGATATTCTTGCTTACATGGTTAGGAGTTGACCTAAATGGTGTGTGTTGAGTTACTTTGTCCTTCCCCCTCCAGCCTAGCTTTCCCCTCAAACGACCTTTTTGTGACACAATATCCGGCTGTCAACTCTACGAAAGGATGTCCATCCGTTACTGGTGACTCAGCCGGCATGCTGCTGTTGCATTAGTTCATTTCCTTTCTAGTGAACTGCGGCACAACAGCCGACTCTAGCATAATGATGATGTACGATAGCCAGCTATTTATAACAGTTTGTCGTTAACAAGGTATGGAGAATTCTACTAGTACAGTAGCTATAATTGAGAAACAAAAGATCTAATCTAGCCGACCGAAATGCGAATATTTTTAGCTTACCAAGAACTGAGTATCTGCTTCTTGACAATGAAGTTATCGAAAACACCCATCTGAACCGGATTCATGGCACCTCCGGTGGCCAGGTCGATACCAATCAGTTCGTTGGGTGGGTTCCCACCGCATCTTTTCTCCACTTTCGCCGCTTCTTCCAAAAGCTTCACCATTGTTTCTTGAATGTCATGACCAGCGTTCGAAGCTAAAACTTTAGGGATAACCAAAAGGGCATCTGCGAAAGCTTGTACACCAAGGCGAGAACGACCCTTAACCTCGTGGGCATACTTTGACAGCTGACGATGGGCGAAAAGTTCAAAGGCGCCAGCGCCTGGGACGACACACTCTACAGAAAATATGGGAAGTAAAGCGCAGTAAATAACATGCAGATATCGAATTTAATTAAGTAAATTGACGGGACGGTTAAATCAAAAAATCGCCAGTTTAGCAAGCAGGTTCTAATGGCAGCTGAACAAAGTATATTATCATAGGCATGAGCAAATCCAGAGCAAAACTGGTAGTAAAAGTGAGAGAACAGTGATGATACACCAGCTAGCATTCAGATTCTTGAGATGAACATCGTTCCGATTTTCACATTAGAAACATATACCTCGTTTAATCTGGCAATCTAAGCGACTGAGGTTGGGTAGCGGCACTATTTGTGAACCCTCTGTGAAGTGGCTTAAGCTAGATAAAGCACGGCAACCTAAAGATATTCACGCAGTACAGTTGTCGAAAGGACTTTACTTCGTGGTGTAACGAATTGCGTGACACCCTGGGACCTCGAGCTATGCTAGTCGGGACTTTTGGGCATCTTAGGACCTAATCCGGGACAAAATAGGCCTTCCAGCCCTTCAAGTGAATAACGGGAATCGGAGTGCACATAGTCTCATAAAAAAGACTTATAATGTAGATTGCTGGCATTTTTAGTCGAGTCACCGTGACTGTGATTGGCGGCCTCGGTTTGATTTTCTTGGCTGTTATCAGGATCAAAGTATTCCGTTAAATCACCCCGTGCATTGATATTATTTCGTAGAAATCACAGTAGCATTCAGTTTCGTTCTTGGTTCAGGAGTTTTCAATCATATTATCTCTGTTGAATTCCGGAGATCTTAATATCACTTTGCGCCCCACAATTGGCCGCCATTTTGGTCTCGGATTTTTTATAATGCCAAAACAATCACCTTGCGGTGCCTGTTTCAAGATTGTCGGAAGTCGAGCAAATGCACCCACATGTGTTATGTGTCATGTTAAATTCCATATTTCATTCATTGGACTACCCACTGGGCATTTTCGTCGTTTTCGTGAAATGCAAAATGATTTCGTTCCAAATCTCGAAAGGAGATACAGCGGCGAAAGTAGAGCAGAATCCTAAGTCGTGTTGTAAGCTGAATCATTCCGTTGAGCTCGGCGTGTTTGGCCCAACAAGCTAGCCCGAGGGGCCTCCATGTTTCAGATAATCTTTCTTGTTCGTCCCCTGAAAACTCACCGGCACGAAGTTCACCCATTGCGAGCAGCCCAATTACACCGAACACGAGTAAGTTACTAGTGTTACATTCGACAGGTAGAGATGTCCCGGTGTGTGAAGGTCTGTGTACTGAAGACATGTGGAGAACATAAACAAAGGCAAAAAACGAAAAGAATTCAGCTGCTGCGAATCAACGGCACGCAAGACATCGTGAAGCTCGAGAAAATCCTCGCCGTGTAATGTCAATCTTGGCCGACGTAGTGATTTGCCACGCGTCTGAGTCCAGTGATCCAGCCCCCAGATGCGCTATGATCATGAGGTCGAGTTTTTACAGAGCCTAATTGATAGACCCCTTGACGTGGGGGAAAACGGGTTGAAAGCAAAACAAATGACCGGTCTTGGAAAGGAAGGTGATTAACAAAGTTGAGCAATGGGAATCAAATTTGTGGACGAAGTCAGTTGGAGACTGATCTTGTCCCAAGTAAATAGGTTGAAACGTCTAAAGCTCCATGTTCGTCCAGATTTGGACCTAGTGGATCGAGGACTCATCATCATCATTATCATGCATGTTAGCTGCAGGTGGGAAACACCTTAACTACTGTGCCGCAATACAAAAGACAATAAAAAACAGAGGCACGCCAGCTGTCCCCAGTAACAGATGGACATCGTTTCGGAGAGCTAACGACTAGCTATCGTGCCGCAAAAGGAGAGTTACATTATGCTTAGGGAATGAGATCGTGATTGAGGGGAGACTAAGCAGAAGGGGAATGGACAAAAGAACTCACAACACAAACGCCATCAGGGCCGGCTCTTCGCCCTATAAGCAAGTGTGTCCAACCAAAGGTGTTCATCGTCCTTAGGACCCCAGCCAGGCAGTCGGGATGCACCAACAGACGCCAACTTCGAAGTGAGTGCCTTCGTACCTCACGATCAAGTCATCGCTTGGCCTCCTCTCCTCCTCTTCTAACCACACCCCCGACGAGCAAACAATGCACGTCGCGGGAGTCGGTGTGCTGGCATGCGCGACACGTGGTCCAGCCATCAGAGTCTGGTGCGTAATATGATGGTGTTGAGTGGTTTACTAGCCCTTCCTGCACCAAATACGTGACGCCGAACACATTCATTGCCCACGCGGTGCTCCCACCAGACATGAGCTAAGCTGCGAAGGCAGCGCTGATCGAACGTGCCTAGCCTCTTTATATGTTTACCGGATGGGCAAGGTTTCACAACGGTATAAGAGGGTTGATTGGCCTTTCAGGGCGAGAGTGATGTCGCGCCTGCGCCATAGGTGGCCGTGGTTGGCAAAAACACCTCGAGCTTTTGCTATATGGTTCGTAATCTCAGCTTTGATCCCACGGGAGCTAATATAGCCGTCCAGGTAATTGAATTTCTGAACGACTTCTAGCTGATCACCACCAAGGTTCACTGGGGGGGGGGTCCTTGCCAATCTTTGGGAATAACTTTGTATTTCGATGGAGCAAAACATAGCCCAAAACGATTGACAGCCAGTGCTAATCGGTCCAGTGCAGCATGGCATGTTTGGGCGCTGTCACATATGAGGGAAATGTCGTCCGCATACTCTAATACAAGAAGTCGCTCACAAGGAAGTAGCTCCACACCTTCTAGGTCGTGTCCAGTGAACGCGGGTTTCTGAATTGCAGTGTTAGATTCCACTCTTGCTTCCGGATTACTGCAACACGTGTTCGCTTTGTGTGCATTTTGCACCAATATTTTTCTGTTGGGGTATTTTACAATATGTGCAAATTTGGTGGATATTCTCTGTCTACTTTCGGAGATCTTATTGATTGGCCTAAGTGCCGTCAGTGTCCACCATCTTGGATTTTTTCTACAGTAATCTAACCTATGTGGAGCGGTCACGTGATCTCAGGTGGAACTGACATCATAAACCAACTTCGACAAGTGCAATTGCCCGGATTTATGTGAAGTAACATCAGCAAAACTAAAAACCAGTTGATTTGTACCGCCATCGCTTATTTTTGCATTGATAGTTTCCCGTAGCTCAAGCTCTTAAGATCTTGACTGAGCCGTTTATTTCCATCCACCTTCCCTAGCTACTTCATCTAGCCTTCTCATCAGTCAAGTTCACGTCATTATGGCAGCCACAAGGCGTAGCCTTACTCGACAAGCTAAGAGCAGTATTTCATACACCGTCGCAACGAGGCTGGACCTTAACATGGTGCGACGGTTTGCGTACCTTATTGACCCATCGAGCTATACTGAGTGATGCCTCCGGGCACCTTGAGAGCTACTCCTACAAGGTTGGTCAATGGTGAGAGGTCAGACAAACTCAGTCTCCTGGTCCTTCAGCTTGGGGGGTTTGAAATGGATTGACGTCCATTTCTGTAAAACTAAATCATTGCCACATCCCCGCTGCCTTGCGGACAGGCTTTTGAGCCGAAGGCTTTGGATGAGGACCCTAATCGTCCTCCTGTCTAGGTCTGGGCGCCCTGGCAGTATCTCAGCCTATATACAACCATGACATCTTCAAACATACACCACGCGACCAAAGACAACGAAAACTGAGGCCTTGACCAAACTGGGAGTCAGTCCTGATCCAATTGCTGCTTTTCTTTCAAAACGCAGTGATAAGGTCAACTTGGAATCCCAACTCTCCGGGATGAGAAAAATAGTAACCATCGTCGAACCAGTTCGAGATCACCTGGCTTCATTAGACTATCTCAGTAACCCAGGGGAAAGCCTTGATGCAGCCCAAATGGGAAAAGCAGAACAGTTAATCGCCTGTGTCTGAGGTACATGTAGGAATGCACAGAGTGAAAAACGTGGTCGTCTTCAACATTCCTGAAAGGCTTAGATTGGGTAGTTAAAACTGCAGTACTTACGGCATGTAACATGTCCGAGATTGAATGCAACTGCCTTCATCTGAAAAAGAAATCACTTAAACACTGCTGCCCGATCGCTTCTAAATATTCAACTGAGGAATCCACGCACCAATTGTTGTAATCAGTTCACTATAGACCAGCGGACTCAATTCAAGGACCTATTAATTAAACCATATCGCACGCCATTACAAAGATCCCTTAGTGATATTTCATCACAATCACTAGCCCAAACGGCTATTTGGGTTAAGTATTCTCAGACCAACTCCCAAAAAGATAATTTATCTAATGTGGCAATTGGGCACCTTGAGGTGAATCTCGACAGCTCACCTCATATGATAAGAACCTCGGTCACCACTGTTTCTGACGATACTGCAATGTCACCTAAGCAAACCCCTACCTCCTCAATCTTGATGCCTGTGAACCAACTGAATTGAATTCACCGTTCCTAAATGATGGAGTAACTTCTAACCATTGGGAAGAGCTGACCATCAAGAGCCCTGTAGCTGTGTTGTAAGCTGAACTCAACGTCCAATGGACCCCCATGGGCAGTCAATCCAATAATGTAGAAAACTCACAGCCACTCACCGGATCCAACAAGAGATTTAATCCTGTGATGAACATGGTAGAAACTAACAAGATCTACCAACATAAATCGCAAAACACTTTATAAAGCAACATCCTGGACCGACAAAAATCAGAAGCAAATGTCTTTTGGATACCCCTTGCTATAATTCCCTTCCATACCACAAAAACAAGCTCAGTAATGATAGAAGAAACTATGTCACGAAGCCAAGACCACCTCCCATCCCGTCTCATGTGTGTGCAGTCCTTCCCAACACCCCTCAGTATGACCCATTTTTCGTACAGGAGAGAATGGAGCCGCGGCCATTCCCACTGCTTACATACCCGGCAGAAGCCAACTACCTATTCCCACTGTCCCTACAATATTTGCAGATGACTGGGCTATCCAACTGACACGCTAATCGCAAATTAGACTTGCTCGCTTAACCACCTCCATGTCCACAGTAATAAGGGCAATCACAAGTGACATATTACCCCGCATGTTAAGAGTACACCCGACCCCAGTACTCCCACTCCTATCTCCTGCGTCCATTATTCCTGACTACAACGCGTATAACAATGAACCGCAACACGATGACCCCACATCCAATAGTCCGTTTTCTATACTCCTACTTAAAACCAGATATATCAAGAACAAATTGTACTTCGTAGGCATGTCTGCGCATGTCAACGACTCACAAAAAATCCTCGTTACTGAAACGTGGTACTCCCCCGATACATTAGATCACCTTAATAATCCCTAATTATCAGCTCTTCAGAAAAGATCGTGGCACAGGCAAAGGAGGTGGATGCATGATATACCTACACTGCACATTTGTAGCAGAACTTCTTGATCATCCAGCTAACAAGTGTTCCAGAATCTCTTTGGTTATCCGTCTCAGGAACCGGTTCTTACATTTTACTCGGATGTGTTTACAACCCGCCAGATGCGAGTGTTACCATCATCACTTCAGCTTTCGAGTTTGCTGCTGAGATGCCAACAGACAGATAATTGCTGGTGATATTAATCTACCAAAAATTAACTGATCCTCTCAACCATCCTCGTCTACACATACAGTTTTCCTTTCCTCTCTCAGAATTGGTGGCTGGATACAGTGCGTTACGGAGTTAACAAGAGCGACCAGTATACTCGACCTTATAGTCAGACAGAGTGCACAAACAGAGGTATTAGACAAACTCTCTGGTAGTGAACACAAGGTGGTACGAGTCACTTTCTGTGTCAAATTGGTCATCAAACACGCTTTTATTCCGCAATATGTATTTCATAGGATAAACTGACAGCAATTCCAACAATTTATTCGATCAGCCGATTGGCATGCGTTCTTCCTCTCTAACAATGTGTGCAATGCAGGAGACTATTTCTAATATCGGGTCCATCAGGCCATTGCTATCTTTACTCCCCAAGACGAGGGGACCACACGTGTCCAAAAAGACGCAATCGTGCGTTCAGTCATCCGGAAACACAGAAGACTAATTGCAGGATGCAGAAAGACTGGAAATTTCACCTTGCTTTTACAGTTGCACAACATTCTTGACAGCGTCAAGTACATACAGTTGACGAAGAGGAGACACGAAGAAAAAATGGCTCTACGAACGACATGTAGAAAGAGGGAACTTGTTAAAATTCTGCGTCGCAGAGCTAACAACCACACCCCCTTGATCGATGGACTGGTTAATGCAGACGGACAGTTCCTTTATGATCCAGCCGATATCTGCGAACCGCTTAGCTCATCTCGCTACCTCCATGAGCCTGGAGAGGACCCTGTAAGATGTAAGCATGGGGTGCAAACAACAAACGCCCTGTGTAACATTGAATTTTTTATCATTGCTATCCAACATTTAATAAATTCTACTAAACCGTCTTCCCATCTGGATTCCGATGGTATCCCACCTGCCGTCATTAAACCGGGAGGGCCTGACATGCCATTACTATTGCTGAACATGTCTACGCTTTTGTTGGAATCAAGCTACTTTCCGGACCAGTAGAAAACAGCGCTCATTCCCCGTCACAAGCGTGGCTCCAAACAAGAAATTAATAATTACCGGCAAAATCATCACACCCCTGTCGTAGCCAGAATATTAGAGAAACTGATTAAGAATGGTGTGATGAAATTCATCAATTCGCTGGAGCTAACAGACAGGCCACAGCATGGCTTCCTGGACAAACGATCGTGCATAACCTGCCAATTACATTATATAAACCATTTTTCGGATTTTATTGACTCAGGATAGGCAACCATACTTCTGTTCCTGGACATGGAAAAGGCATTCCATTGAGTGCCCCATAAGGCGCTGCTGAAAAAGATTGCTTCCTTTGGAATTCAGAACCCACTCCTAGGCTGGCTATTGTCATACTTGAGTGGCCGTTCTCAGATAGTTAGCGTAGCCGATCACCACTATTCACTACGTCCAATCACCAGTGGTGTTATTCAAGGGAGTGTACTTGGTCGGACGCCTTGTTGAAATCGAGGTAAATCACGTCGAGACTTTTTTAGGTTCATTACCTGAATCCATTCATGCTTCATTACGAGCAGGTTGGTAATGCATGAACGATCTGACGTGAAACCGTGCTGTGCGGGAGTCAGAACTTATGCCGGAACAGCTGTAGCAAACGTTTCTTCACAATCTTTTTTGCAACCTTGGTCAGAATAGGTGTCAAACAAATTGGCCTGTAATTGTCTACCTTGCTTGGGTCATCGCTTTTCGGAATCGGCCTTAGCACAGGGCATTTCCAACCAAGCGACAATGTACCATCGGCAGGCGAGATGATGGCTGACAAGGATTTTAGAAACAAGGGATGGAGCAAGTCGGGTGCAGCAGGCTTGGTGCCGTCAAGATTGTTGATTAGCTGACGCACCTATTCCACACCACAATCCAGCCCGTCGAGTTCGGTAAGGTTGGTGCACGCCGAACTCAGTACAAGCACCTGGTTATCTGCAAACACAGAAGCAAAGTGCGCCGCCATTGCGGAAGCAGTCACAACGCTGAAGGTTAGGGGCTGTGCATTCTCGTCCTTTATCACTGGTAGGTTACTTTTCGGTTTCAGGTGCCGCTTCACGTACACAAAGATTCCCTTTGGGGCAGTTTTCACTGCGGTTGCAAGCTGCTCTACGAAATGCCTGCGCTTGCTGGTTTTCACACAGTTGCAGATATTTCGCTGTATTTATACATTGCATAGGACACGAAAACTAAGAAGACAAATGATATGATGATGGATATCATATTGCCTACGGGGCAGGGGATCATCGTTGGAAGCTAAGTGAGAAGGAGAGGGGCAAAGAAACTCACAACACAAACTCCCTTCATAATGTCAAATAGTGCATCCAGCGCAGTATCCTGTCCGTCGCAACGACACTGGACCTTAACGTGGTGCGATGATTTGCATACCACCTTGACCCATTGAGCTATATTGCGCATCTTGAAGTTACTCCTACTAGGTTGGTCAATGGTGAGAGGTCAAACAAACTCAGTCTCCTGGTCCTCCAGGTTGGGGGTTTGAAATGGGATGGCGTCCATCTCTGTAAAACTAGATCAATGCCACCCCGCTGCCTTGCGGGTAGGTTTTTGAGCCTAAGGCTTTGGATGAGGACCCTAATCGTTCTCCTGTTTAGGTCTGGGCACCGTGGCAGTATCTCAGCTTACATACTACCATGACTTTCTTCAAACATAAACTTCATCCTGCATCGGCTGTCGCGCAGATTATCAAGTGCCGCTTTATTTGCTGCATACAGCAGGGCGGATAATCGAAAACATGCTACTGCTGGCGCCTCCCTTCTTTCATTTCAACTTGTTTCTCTTACTCCCATTACTAACCCTTCTATAATTCCCAGATTAATTGACAACAACCGAAATGCCACTGGAGTAGAAACATCTGCAGCCCCCTTTCCACAACACTCATCGGCAACAACCTCTTATAAGGACACGCTGTTCAGTTTCCATGGTGGCGTTTAACGTTCGCATTCTAAAACAAATCGGTCAACAGGCTGCATTCACACGCACCTTAGACACACTGGGTATTGATGTGTGTCCGATACCAGGATCAATGACCCTAATGGAGTTTTTGAAGTAACTGCACCCGACTTATCCTCTCGTTATTGGTTGCACATCCGGAGATGCCGATGCAGCACTCACGGGTCAAGCTGGTGTAGGTATCATTCTAAGCTCCAAGGCTGAGCCATCGTTGGTTGATTGGATTCCGGTGAACAGCCGTTAATGTGCAACCCATTTGAAGATGTGAGCCAAGATTGATACAAGAAGTAGTACAAAACGCTGTTTGCTTGTGAATTCCGCTTATGCTCCCACTGACTGCAGTTCAAATGCTGTCAAGGACACATTCTAGCACGAACTGAACACGTTACTAGGCAGTGTTACCAGTTCAGATAGCACAGTATTTGCAGAGGAAATGAACGCACAAGTAGGGCATGAGATTTTCTGAAGTTCAGCTGGGTGGTGATTGTGTGCTTAACTCCGAACGGACGGACAACGGTGTGTCCGCTGCAACAGTGTGCGGAACACGAGTTGTTTCTTAGTAGCACTGCTTTGAGACAGTGGGCGCCGAAGTGCCACTTGGCGTCCTCCTGTAGCCGGCCGGCGATGGACCCAAATTGACCCCATTGCCATAAGTTATAGGTGGCGTGGTTCCATCCTGGATTGCCGCTGTCATCTCCTAGTCGGATTGCCTCATTAAAGTGTGTTTGGTGCTGAGTTATCTGAGGGGTAATGGTTGATTATGACGCAGGGCAATGAAAGCCGCATGGAAGCTGTCGCGCCAATGCTGCCTTATCTGCACAATAGCCAGCTGTTTGTGACGGTATGTTGTCTACACAAGGTGTAGGCGCCTTGACCCAGAATGTTTGCTTAGGACATTAAGGTTTTCAGGTAAGTCCCCCCTTCCCATCATGGTTATATGGCAGCGAAGCATCGGATCAAATGGCTGGTGTACTGCTGTTGTTGATTGATTACAGTATCCCATCAAGCTATTATGCGGATGGGGGGAATCGCAGCTATGGTCTGGTTACTACCGTTCAAAAAGCAACCGGAACGTAGTCGGGTTAATGGTAACAAGCATGGCAATTACCGACGTAGACAACCAGAGTATCTGACTGGCGGATGCAATACAAAATCTACTGTAAAAGACGTACCATCTTCGAGAGTGTTCTTCGCGGCGCGTAACCCATCGTTTATGGCATCCTTGAGTTGTGTAAGAGTGTGCTTGTTGGGCCCTTTCATCAAAAGCGTAACGGAGCGCGGGTTTTTGCACTCCTCAACGAAGGTATATTTTTCCTCACCCTAGGAAAGTTAGCAAGTTTAAAAGAGCTCACCAAAATGTATTCATATACTAATCCAGCATGACCAAGGCAGTCTGGTGTAAGATCGTCAACTGAGTTGACTGAGAAGCCACCACAAGCAAGAGCAACACGCTCCATGTTTCGTCGCTTGGCCCTACGCAGAGCAAGGATACCCTCACGAGCGAAGGCATCAAGCGAGAAGGGATCAATTCCTTTTTGGTTTATGACTACAAAGCCTGGCTTAGGATCACCACCGGCTTCTCCGCAAACTTTGTTTTTTAGATCGATGACCTTTTGTACGCGCAAATCAATAAACTCCCTCTCCGATTTGACTAAGGACGCTCTTTCTTCAGCCGTTTTGTAGAAAAACGAAGAATTTACTTCACTAGAACGAGGAATTAAGCAAACAATTTCACTTACGTCTTTTCGTACTCAAAAGAAACGTTGCAAGTCAGTATAAATGCGTTGTTCACGCGCTTAGGCATGTCTGGATGTCTGCCACCGTGATCCAAAACTAATCCCTTAATCAAAGTGGTGTCCATATCTGTTTTGTGCTGCATTTGCATTAGCTCGATCCGATGCAAATCCAACGGTTCATCCGGATGTCGAATGCAAAAAACCGCATCCACCACGTGCTAAAATAGCGAGGTAACTGCGAAACTGAAAGCTCACTTCAGTAAGCAAATCTGCAAGGTCTTTGTGAAGCTTGGTGCGCAAGGAAGTGCCGACCACTGAGAGGAATATGGACCGATCAGGCATTTCGCTGGAGCATTCGATACGACAGGTGGAGAGGAGCTCAATGCACTTGTTCTTGGCCAACTCGAATCCCTCAGTAATTAGTCTCGGGTGTAGACCTTCCGAAGTATGAACTTCAGCCTGCTTTAACAGCTCTGCGATTAGGAGCACATTAGATGTGGTACCGTCTCCAGTCATGTCATCTTGAGCCGTCGCAACCCGGGCAATAAGACTTGCTGTAGGATGTTGTATTTGCTACGAAGCGAATATTAGATACAAAAGAACCCACCATTTCGTGGAGCAGAACACTTCCATCTTTAGTTATCTTAATGTCTCCGGCACCGGAAACCAACCTGAGAACGTAGAACAGCATGAAGTTAACGTACATTTTCATTGTTCCCTTGGGACCTAAATTGGTCTTCAACACATCGTAAAGACCACGAGCTGCCGAAAGGTTGATGTTAAATGCATGCTGCGCCCTGGCAAACTCCGCCTTTGGGTTAAGGAGCGAGATAGAAGCCATCCGTATCGAAAATCACCGGAGATTATGATTGCAGGAAAAATGCACACGTGAAGCGAGAGCTCTGCAGTACAAATTTGACGTAGCGGCCCAGTATCTCCAAAACAAATTATTCCAAAATGTTGTTCATATACAGCACTACTTTAGTGAATATTTTATCTTCTGAAATATAAACATAAATTATTTCGCGGAGGGCTAAGTAGACTAATTTAAGATTACGATAGTTATTTTTATTATAACTCTGAATTGACAAAAATGTCTTTAGATATTAAAATATTATAAATAATTTTACTTAATGGCATAGGAATTTTCATGGTCACGCTAGTGTTGAACTACCCATCACCAAGCAGTTCAAAATTAGGGTGGACCCGCAATTGTGCAATTAAATGTTCCGAAAACCGCTAGAAGTATAAAGTTTCTAGGGTCAATGGCAGAAATGAACAAGCAGCTAGGTACTTATTGAAATAACGGATGGCTTTGACAAACGTAATGATTAACTTTTTTGGAGTTTGACATTTAGCGACCGTTTCATTTGTAAAGTTGCTGCTAAACCGTTTTCTTCACTATATTGTCCATTTTTTTAGACGGATTGCCCAATCCAAGCTGACGACCGGAAGCTGCGGATGAATGCAGCCAGCATGCAAGTAGCTGATAGATTAGGACTTTCGCGCGCGCTATGCCAACCTTAATCGAATTATTTGCAGTTGCCTGGAAATCGGGATAAATGCTTGGTCCTCGCTGTTGGCGCGCACAACCCAATTATAGTTTCCACATTGACTGTGCCTTGTTTCGAAACGTAACTCAGGAGACGAATTTTGGAGAGTTAGTTTCAACAAACCTCAAGTATAATGAAGATGCCCGGAAGAGCTTCGCCATTGCATTAAGGCATTTCTGCAGTGGAAAGGCCAGCCTAGATGGGCTTAATTGCATAAAGGATCGCCCAGTCTATAAGGCTCGTGCGTTGGACCCGAACTTAGGTAAAGCACGAACATCGCTTGACCTACAGCTAGACGCGAAATTCGGACGGAAGACGGAATTCATTCGTCAAAATAATTCGACGCAATGGAGCCCAGTGTCCATGACCGAGACAAGCAGATCGACGGTTAACAGCACAAAATACGCAGCCGAAACCAGAATGCAAATGGAAACATGAAAAGGTGTTATTTTAAGTAGTAGGTCGGTTAAAGCAAACCTGTACGTTACATATTGTAACTAGGAATATGAAGGTAAAATTGGGAAGTGAGAGGTGTACATTTGCAACGGCGCCCCACCCAGAGAACGAGAGCCACTGAGTCGAATACCCGATACTTCTGTGTCAGTTAGCCAGCTTGCAAGGTAGAAAAACTGTGGGTTCGAAGCGTATTCGATGGTGCAAGTTCTAATTTGGTCGCGGGATGCTTGGGTTGCAGAAGTGGGAACCGGAGAGGAACACATGTTTAGAGTAGGAGGCGTAGTTGGGTGGTGGGCTGGTCGGTGGCAGGAACGTCCGTGGGTTTAGGTAGTGGTCCTGTCTATATGTACACAGGCTTCTAGCTGTCAATACTCACGTTATCCAGATAACTATTACTATCCATCACGAAGTAGTTCTCCCTCCGGGCAATCACTTAATAGGGGTCCTCCTATGGCGGTGTCAGATATTTTCCGACGGATGCGACATGCACGAGAACGAAGGAGCAAGCTTGCAGTTCTAGGTGTACCTGTTGACTCTGAGCCTGGTTTGTGGGGTTTTTTAACTGAATTATGATGTTGTGTTTCCTATGGCGTGTGACGTACTAGGTGGGATCAACTTCCTTAGTATACCCTGTGTCTGGCAGCGTTTCTCCAGGACGTGTGAGCCTTGTGGAAAGGAACAAGGCAGCAGGACAACGACCAACGATGTTAGCACTAGCAAAAGAGAATCGGTAGTCGTTCTGATCATCGTGTGTTCGACTGCAAAGCCGTACTTGCGGCTTTAATTTAACGATGGGTACTTTCAACTACGCCACTTAGCAGCGGGTGAAACGCGGTTGTTCGTAACTGGGAACACCAGAGACAGCAGTTCAAGTCAGGAAACGAGGACAACTTGGATTAAAACCCCCTATCGGTTTAATAGTGCCTGGCGTGCCATAGACAAAAATTCAATTTCCAATGCATCTTTGCGCCACAGTGTCTGAAGAAACACCACGTAAATGAACAGTAACTGACCAACGCGTATTACGAATAACACATGTGAACAAGTAGACCTAACCATTGGATGGACTCAAGGGGCCAGCCATGTCCAGTTTTCCATGTTTGAAACGGGAGTCGGTAATAGCTAACGCGCTGGGTACGGTAAACGTGCGTCGGTGGCTGTTGCTAAGTTGGCAAATTATACAGCGTTAAATCAAATAAATAAATAAAAGTATATTGCTACACAACTAGAAGCTGGGAACTGGAGGGGTCACAGCATAATGTACAGTAAGCACAAGTCAGTCCGTGCATAATAGTGGCGTTAAGTTAAGGTAATACTTGATCACGAGCACTGAATATTGAAAACTGTATTTTAGAGCAATTAGAAAGGAAATCCTTACAACTCCTTTGAAATAAAATGCTAGACGTTCTAACAATTTGCAGCCGTGAATATCGTTATCGTTCCCATTTAACATTAGGAGTATCTGACTCACGGTATGGCAGGACTCACGAATGTGACATGTCATCTTAAGTATGCAAACCTTTTCTGCATTGTATAGTGGTAAAATTTAAAGCTCACGACGTTATGAACTGCTGCACTGATGTAGCCTCCAGCACATTCAGGCAAACTGTTCCAAGTAGTCACCACTCTCCTTTCAAGGAACAGTGGGTCGGGAACCCGCTTTACCTCCGGCACGACAACTTTGTATCCGTGGCCCCGTATGCTGCACGGTCCTCGTACTTGCAGCCTGGGCCTTATCATTAGGAAGTCACCGAGATATGGAGTATGAGGTCGGCTCGCAGCTGACGATAGGACAAGGTGTAGAGTCCTAATTTCTCGCACCGGCCTTCCTATCCCAATCCAAGTAAACTCGGGAGGAGCCTGGAAGCAAGGCGCTGGGCCCTTTCGATCTTTTGCCTCACGGGTAATCGAAAAGTAGGCGGGTGAGCCGTACTCTAGCATTGTTCTAAGGATGAAAGAGAAGAGGCCAGTGGTAACCTCTTCAGACCATGTGCCGAAGGTACGTATGAGCGCCCAAAGCAAGCGCAGTCGTTATGATATAGCCTGTTTGTGTTGTCCACGGACTTCAAATCGTAGCGCCCGCGTACACCTATGTCCAGCACGAAGGGTGTAGTATATAGCGGTTGGTCGTCGAGGGTGTAGCTAAGGTCGTCAGCACCTTTCCGCAGAATCATAAATACAGACTGGGTTGGGTTGACCTGGATATGAACCTCTACAGACCATGCATATATGCGGATGAGGTCTTGCTGAAGTAGGCTACAGTTGTCAAAAACGTCAACTGCTCTCCAAATCTTCATGCTGTCCGTAAACATGACGCACGGTGACTGGCGAATCTGAGGTGGCTTGTTATTGTGGAGCAGGAATAGAGTGGGCACCGGCACGGTGCCTTGAGGCACGCCATTTGGAGAGGGATACCAGTCATTTAGATAGTCGTCGACCTGTACCCTTCACTTTTGTCCAACAAGCAAGGCACGGCTTAACGGGTGCAGTGAGCCAACGACTCCACAACTCCTGAGTTTGTGAAGGAACAACTCATGGTTGACCTAGTCGAAAGCTTTCTTGAAATCGATGAATATCGCATCGACATACTTCCCCTTGCCTAGTGCCTTCAACCACGCATGCCACGTCACAAGCATGTATGCAATGCAAGATCGACTTTGCATAAAACCGCGTTGTGCAAGCGTCAGGGCCTCGGTTGACCGTTGCAACTGCAATAAGCTTCCTTTAACGCCCTGCACAGCAATCTAGGCCAAAGTAGGTGTCAGACCAATTGGTCTGTAGTTGTCTACCATGCTGGGGTTGCCACCAGTTGAAATAAATTTCACAACCGAACCTTTTCACCCTATTCTTAATCAAGCTGCTAATAGCGACGCTCCTCCAAGTTCTCGGTTTTTGTGCAGGAGTTACTTTCGATGTATCGAGGAAAAGAGCTTTCCGGATTGTTAGCTATGACGTCAAAATGCATGAGTTGCAGTAAAGGTGTGACCACGCGTTCTAAGGCCGTACAGTGCTCTGAGTTTGACGGATGGCTTCATATTGCCTGCTGCGGCATTTGTCCTGCACTCTATGAGTCTCTGCAACGATATACCACATAGGCTATCACTGCTTCCTGTCGCCGCTGCCTTACTTCAGTAAACAGTCGACGCGTCCATGCCGGACTGCCAGTTCTGAGCCCTTATTCTACTCCAACGAAGTTGGAAGCTTCCACTGCATTGGACTCTTTTGCCTCATCACCTTTTCGTCCACACCTATTTTCGGCTCAACAACCCCCACGGGTAACCGAAGCCGTGTCCACGCTGCTTCCCAATCAGAACCTTTGACACACGCCTTGCGCAGTGAGCCCACGATTGCGACATAAGCTGCCGTGGTGAGGTAAACCCCCACTGTCCCAATGGGCCAGGCGAAGTCTAAGTCCAAACCCAAGAAAACTGCTTCCCAGACCCAAAGGAAAGCTGTTCTCGACATAGTCAACGAGCTGAAAAAATTGATAAAGGACAGTGCGTAACCACAGCCTCAGACCTCTGGCCGCGCTCTACCACCCTCTCGTGAAAGATGTCTTAGCAGTGTGAACGCCCCAGAACCCACCAAGCACACCTCTGCAGAAAGGATGCTGGATGACAAAGGGTTCCTTGAGCGAATGATTTCTATTTTATTCTATGAAGGTGATTTGGGTATAACCGCTATCTCTGCCTTCCGCTTGGGAAGGAAGCAAGATGATCCTTCCAAGGAACGCCCCTTTAAGGTCGTATGCCGAAGCGAAGAAAAATGCCGACGTATCCTCCGGCGAACCCCACGTTTGAAAGGTGGGCCTTGTTACGTAATGAGAGCTCTTACTCCGGAAGATTGTATTAGACTAAAAACAGCCGTTGATGCGCTCCGGTCCCGCCGAGCGAATGGTGAGACAGACA